AGGCCTTGAACCTTCCTTGCGATAGGACCATACCAACGTTCTCGGGTCAACCTGTTGTAGCTTAGAAAATCAATGGAGACACATGTGTTCTGCATCATGTTTGGCTTACCGAGCTCCAAGTGCAGGTCTAGGGGAACAGTGGATCACCACTTATAAGTTGACCTTAATTTATACATTAATTAAGCCGGGGTCGCTTTGTTATTTTTCGTTCTCCTTAGCATGGATATAAAGAATGTTGCATATTCTGGCAGGCGCCTTTTATATTTAAATGAATTAGATTTATGTCACTTTTGTTTGCTCTGTGTGTGACTCTCCGCTTCTCATAATTACTGTCGAACCAATTTACAGATTTTGACAAAATTATGCCTCGGTATCGGGCCTGGTGTTACGCAAGAATATATTTACAATCTCAACTAAGACAAACTTCTAATTTAAAGAGGTTTACGTTGTTTCTTCAGTCAATGTATATTGCAAAATAGACAGTCACGTTGCTCCCTATGCCTAACATAACCTCAATAATCATTACTATTAGAGAATACATTGTATCTGCACATAACGACCGCTGTCAGCTCTTTGGTGCCAGGTAAGGCGGGCATAAGTAAAAAAATTATTGCGAAGGACATAAGTTGACTCTAGGTCTTATAGCAATAAGATTGCTCTATTTTTAACTGAAAGCTTGGGTACTGCACTTGTAACTTTCAGTCTGTTACGACTAAAGTTAAGCGGTTCAAAGTAATAAAGTAAAGAAATAATATCTTACTGAAACCCATCTTACCTTGTCTTGAAACATAAAGTTTTAACCAATCATACGACCTTAGTTCCATGATAATTAATGCTGTATTAAATATACGAACTTTGTAATTTTTTAGGAATTGGAAGCAGAGTAACTCATTCGGCGTCCTTGTTCTAGTTCTTAGCGAACCATCGAGGAAGAAAGTTGTAAGAATAAAGTCTTTGATTCATGGGCAATACGGAAGTCAATAACATAAATTTTGAACTACCCTACTGGATTTTACGCTTCAATACACATCATGATCAAGGGAGAGCTCATTTAGAAATTTTCCTATGAACACGTGGATAGTTTTATGAGAAAGTACTTACATTTCATTCGTAGTAAAAGGACAAGAGAGTATCTTCTGTCAGCCACGTACATTACGTAACTGGATGTAGCTATATTACTTTAATTGCTCGAGTTGAGAAGAGCATAGAAGCGAGGAGGTAGGGAGAACAGGCGAATGGGTGACCGTCCGTGTTCTGATCACTGGAGTGCTTTGTAATTGCCGTCATTGTCCTGAGAGCTGTTACTTCTTCTTTTAATGGCCTTTAAGACTTGTAACTAAGTCAGACCTGTATTGACTAAGTCTTAAGCCCGAAGGTAAGGCTTTATTTAAAATGTCTTTCTCTTCCTCTCATGACAACCAGTTTCAAATTCTCATTAGATACACACACACACACACACCAGAGCTACTTTCAAAAAGAAGAACATAATGCTTTATCGAATATTTCGACTTAAAAATAATTATGTACCGGAATTGATAATTGCATAGAGTGGAATCTATCTCACTGAGGTTATGCTTTACTTCGAAATATTAAAATAACCAAGAAATGGTTTGAGGTATGAAGATCAAATAGTAATCGTGGAAATTAAAAGAAATAGAGTTCCAAATGGACGTATAAGGTCGAGAAAAGATATCAGAGCGAAATAAATGGAAAAGTTGGGAGGTTAATATTATTATATGTAGGCCCTATTAAGAAAATGTTATGCGAAGACCTGAAGTGGAACAAATTGGCTAATTAAGGTCCAGTAGTGAGATTGATGCTTATGAATTTTACCCATCCATAATATCAGGGAATTTCCTGAACAGACATACAACGTTCCAGTGCTCACAGAAAAGTACGTAATATGGCAATTGGATAGTCTCATTTTAGAGCAGATGATTTTATTTTCGGTTAATTCCGTACAGAAGGAAATGTTTTATTACTTGAGCACGCGAATTAAATATCAAAGACCGTGGGCGGTATGTAAGACTTCCGTTGAGAACCTTAACTCAGGCTACAATACACATAAATGTGGTAATGCTTGTACATTTGATGTTCACTTGTTCAGAAACGGGAGTATGTATCCAGCAAACCGGATGAAATTCTCAATAACACGTAACTCCAATGTACATAATCCTTCTTGGGAATTGAACCCGAAGTTTCATGTCCGTGCTCAACTGTGTCCTAATCCAAATGAATCCACCACACACACACACACTCACAGCCTATTTTTCATGACATTTTTAATATTTCGCTTCCTTGTATCCTTACTCCTTCCAAGCAGCCTCTTTCCTTCCAGTTTCCGACTCATATTTTGTATACATTTCTCTTACCTCTTGTGCGTCCTCAGTACTCTATTCTCAAACACCCTGTACCTATATTTGTTCTTCTGGCTGGAAAGCCGATCTTCATGCCGTGGCATGTAGAACCGTTGCTGGCCAACGATCGCGTGATAAGCAAATATATAACAACCGTTACTAAGTAACGTCTTCGCAAATAAACTTGTTTCCACGGCAACCATCGTATACAGTAACAGAAAAACGGTGTTTTCTGTGCAGTCCGTGTTGAGATGTTGTAAGAAGGAGAGTTTGAGCAATGAGTTAGTTGTGAGAGTCTCTAGCTGGCAAGAATGTGAACACGGAATTAGAGGATACTGTTGAGATCCGTAACCAGCAACGACCGATGAAGAATCAGCAGACTGAGAAGACTTAATGCGTTATGTTGTTTACAGTGATTTGTGAAGTGTGTGGAACAGTGAGAACATAGTTGTTATTTGTAGTTATTTTCTGTAGTCTATATAATCGTGACAGCTGGTGTCAGAAGTGGGATTATTGGATTGGAGAGGATGGGATTTAGAAAATGATTGGGCTAAAGACAGCTAGACTATGAAGAGTGAACAAATAATGCACACCTGCTGGCTCAAATAGGAGCCAATAAACTGGACATTCGAAAAAATATTCAATTCAAGAAGAAATAATAGCCAAGATGGACGCCCACCAGGAAAAGACGGAAGCCATGGAGAGAAGAGATGAAGGTCTGTCCGGAAAAGCGGGACGCATTTACAGAAGGAATAGATGTCTTAGCGGAGCGTCAGGAGGTCCCTAAAGAAGAGGCTGCATTAGAAACTTTCGGAGCCCTGACGGACCGGCGTCTGGTCGTAAGGGCCACGGACGGCCGAAGAAACGGCCTGTTGCGTAGTTCCCACACGGCTTAAGGGCCGCAGGAATAAAAGACTTAGGGTCAAGAAGAGACGACTGAAGAAACAGAAATGCAAAAACGGCATAAGGAACTGAAGCCCAAAAGAGCAGCTACGTCTGGCAAGCAAGAGGGTATTCAACAAGATGGTCTGGCAGACTTTTGGGCCAAAGGTCGCAAAGCGAGCAATCAAGTTTTCCATCGGGCTGCGAGAAGTGAGTGACTGAATATTATGGAGGCGCCAATCCCCTCCCAAGCGAAAGAAGAGATTACACAGCCAGAGAGGAGCATCTGCCACTCTCGGAACTTTGAATTCAGCCTTAAGAAAAGGAGGATGATGATGGTGTAGTTGGCAAGGCTAACAACTCACCAGGGAACCTCTCGGGATGAGCGAAAATATGGGGGGAGCAGCGGGAGCAGTTGCAGAGTAATCACCGTGAGAAGCCACGGGGTAGGAAGGGGAGGCCGATCACAGATGTCACAAGCAGAGCCCTCGGAAAACAAGAAATGGCGGTAGGCCTGTAGACTATTCGGGGCGATTTTCGTTAAGGAGGAAGAAATGTGGCATTGAAGACCCGTTGTAAGGCAATGACCGTGATATAAGCAAATGCAAAACAACCGTTACTAAGTAAAGGCTTCGCAAATATGCAGTGTTTCTACGACAATTGAATGCAGGAGCAGAGGAACGGTGCTTTTTGTGCGGTCTGTGCCAAGATGTTATAAATAGGATACAGCAATGAGTTAATTGTTAAGGCAGTCGCCAGCCGGTAAAAACGTGACCATGGGAACAGAGAACATTGTTGCAATCCGTCACCAGGCAACTACAGGGGGAAAAACAACAGACTGAGAAGATTGTGTGCTTTAGTTACAGTGATTCGTGAAGTGCATGGAACAGAGACAGCATAATCCTTATTTGTGGTTATGTTCTATAAGCGCTCAATAAATCCGATTACCAATTCAAACCCCGTCTATAGTCACTCAAAAGTCGTGACAAAATTAATTCTATTATCTGTATGACCTCCTAAATAAGTAGATTTTAATTACTATTCCAGAACAATTTTTTTTTATTGTTAGTGCGGTGGGACTAAGTCTCTTGTACTGCGGCCACTTCTGGCCTAGTGTGAGAGTGATTGTGGCAGGGGAAACTGAAGTACTCAGAGAAAACCTGCCCCAACGCAATTTTGTCCACCACAAATCCCACTTGACCAGACCCCGGGATCGAACCCGGGCTGCCGCTGTGGGAAGCCAGCGACTAACCGCTTGAGCTATGGCGCGGCCCTTCCGGAATAGTTACCATTACTTCTATCCAATTTTAATAAACTGCTAATATTTCTGAATTCATGTCTGCTAACATGCTGTCGATTAAGAATTAAATCATAAACTACTTTCAATCTATAGAAGAAACTATGAGCAGCAAGTAGAGTCTGCTAGAACTTCATGCAGCCATAGGCCTAATCTGATATTAATTGCGTTTAGACTACAATGTCTTCGACCAATGATCATGATGAATTTAATTAGTTGGAAAATTTTAAATGATTTTAGAAAAGGTGGCAACACATCACATTTATTTTATATCCCGAGAAGTGATTGTTGAGATGAATCATAAGGCAGAATTTGGTACGAACTAAGAAATGCCAGTTACGAGATGGGGAATTTGCATTTACACAGATCTTGAAATAAAGTGACGTGAATCTTATTAATACGAACCTTGGTTCTGTTTCACCTTACAATCTGCAATGTGTTATAGAAAGGGAATGGTGACTTACCAAATCCATTGATCTCATATGTAATATTGTCACGTGTTGGGTGTGTCACGCGACAAATAACTTCACGTGGGTCTCGGATTTAGCGACTCTTTATTACACACTCGCACTTATACACCATACAATTATTATCGCTTGTGGTATCACGTGACTTCTGCGGCGTCTGGCCTAGGTTCCAACTGTGTTGCATGAAGGCTCAGTTCCAACTGTGTTGCATGAAGGCTTGGTTCCCACTGCGTTGTATGAAGGCTAATTAGCGCTCTGTGTTTCTCGGCTTATGTAGGTGTTCTGCGAACCGGATACGAGACACCACTGGCCAAGGTTCGATCTCACGTGTTCGGCAATCCGTTGCTTCGGGAACGCTCTTTACACGCTGATAACTAATTTCGTCTCGTCCGTTGTTACTCAACGGCCTTCGTCGCTACGATTTGTCGCTGTGGGGTCTCCACAATTTCCATTGTAGCCGTTGCGCGGCGATGGACGTAAGAAAGCTCGTCACAATATTTTGGTATGCTCTGGTTTTCTGTACTTCGATTTCCATCCTCTCCCTCATCTCTCTCTCTCTCTCTCTCTAATTCTAATCCCTAGCGTCCTGGAAGAATTCGGAATTAGTGGGTATAATTCACTGAGATTCCTCTGAAGAGACGCAATTTTTCAAGACCCTAGGCTGGAGGGAGAAGAAGGAAGAGAAGAGAAGGGAGACTACTCGTTTCCAGTCTCCCATTTCCATTGTATTACGCAAGTCAAACACGGGGATTTTACCACCGTGAATTCTGTATTACATTAATTAACTTACGCGTCAAGGGAAGGATTATTATTCGATATCAAACCACAATTAATCGCTCGACAATTAATATTTACTTACGTCATTATGTTATATCAACAGCCTCTCTTATCATGTCTCTGCAGCCTCCAAACTGGGAACAGTGAGTTTAAAAACCTCAAATGATTAAACTGAAATTCATGATACTGCCAAGTACGCATCTACCCACATCGAAAGCTCAGAAATTTCGCTGCTGTACACTCTGTAAAACTACATTTCAACGTTGGTTCTCTGTTACCCGAACTTCTATCATGGGTCGATAATACAGCGAACTCCATAATTTATATTATAAATGGAATTTTTGTATTTTATACATCATATGTTTTGTCTCACGTATGCAGACAGACGTCTTAGAATAAAAATATTCTATTATTACAAAGAATTCTTATTAAATATCTGAACAAAATTGTGTTCCCTTATTTAAGCATTATTGAGGATACGGAAGAATCACCCGAGCCCGGGTTCTGTGAAAGAAACTGCAACCGTTTAGGTATAAATGTAAGATTTGAGGCTTTCACGGCGGTGACTATGAAGAAAGCAGTCTTCTGGGATTTGGCACCGTGTATATGTGGTGTTAACCGACGTTTCGGAGGAACGTATCGCCCCCATCTTCAGGGTTGAAGAAGTATAAGTAAATCTGCAAGCGACAACACCGTGAGACACGGTCAAGCAGACTGCTTGACCGTGTCTCACGGTGTTGTCGCTTGCAGATTTACTTATACTTCTTCAACCCTGAAGATGGGGGCGATACGTTCCTCCGAAACGTCGGTTAACACCACATATACACGGTGCCAAATCCCAGAAGACTGCTTTCTTTAGGTATAAAGTTTACAAATTATATGCAATATCATAAGCTTCTTTCTACGTGGAAGTGAATCAAGATTTCGGATATTTTATCATGCAAGCCAACAATATGGAGCAGAAATTAACATTTACTGTACTTATTCATGTGGGTTTCGCATATTACAGACGTATTCTGGCATATTTACCCAAAGCAAAAATGACGGTTTAACACGCAACAATGGATAACTGATGGAAACGGTGTTTCCTGTGCGGTCCACGCCGAGGCCATATAACAAGGACCAGCTACCACTATAAGGGAGTGGAGGCGACGAAAAGGGAAGTCTCAACTGTGAGACAGTAAAATACGGTCGCAAGTCCGAAGGGACAAGGGCCAGCAGCATATACAAAAGACAGATCCATCCTCTCGTCAGAGAGGGGGCCCCGCAGAAAGAAGACCGTTACTGTCGAGGAGTAATAAAAATCTGGTCATGAGCCCCAGAAGGGTGCTCGATACCAAGACTTAATGACTGACTGATCGTCAGTCGCAATACGACTTTGACTTTGATTATAAGTGAGTCTTGAGACGGCACTTAGAAGAGGAAGAGGTTGGTGTGAGATGGCCGCCAGCCTGCCAGAACTTGAGCCTGGGAGCAGGAAAACATCCACTGATGAAGACACAGCAGACCAAGAAGGCCTAGTACGTTCTGCAATGAACTGCAAGTGTGTGAATTAGCGACAGAACTATAGTTACTTGTAGTTACGATCTGTAAGTGTTCAATAAATCCAATTACCCACCCAAGCCCCGTCTTTAGTCACACTATCACGTGCTATTATATATCACCGACGTCTTACCGTGCACTCATTACGGTGTTCAGATCGTTATGCGTAAGAGAAAACGTAATATTTATAAAGAGAATCACTGCCCACGAAAAGAAATGCCAGTCAAGTTCCAAAAGAAATCACTTTAAAAAATTAGGACAGAGTGGAAATAGAATGGTAAGTATATAAGCCATAAAAGGCACTGTGCCTGCAGGTGGAATGATATGATAAAGGCATGTCACATTCAGTCTCATACCATGCTGAAAACCGTCTGCTTCTCTCTCTGCAAGCTCAGGGTCCTTTCAGGCAGGTTCTGTGATCATGACATTAAATCTCAATGTCCCTTTCCTTTGGGAACAATTGCGGATACTCCCTTCTTGAATTCTGTTTTCATATTTTCTTCAGTTTATGCGATATCTGTCTGCCCTCAACTAGGCCTATGCAGTTCGTGTTCTGTTCCTTAATTAATTTTATTGAAGGTTAATCCCAGTAGCAAACTAAGATTGCTTTGTACTTCATATACTCTTAAAAATGTCCTTACGTAGTCTGATGAAAAAGAATGAGATGGGCGAAACATGCAGCATGCATGACAAGTTAATTAAAGATTTCTGTGGGAAGACCTGGAGGAATTTATCGCTTGCGAATCTAGCAATAGATCAGAGAATGATAATGAAAAACTCCTAGAAAATAGTGCATGAGAGTGTAGACCGGAATCATGTACCGCAGAATAAAATTCAGTTCGAGCTCGTGCGAACTCAACGTTCGGAGTGTATTGCCCACGTATTAGAGTGACTACGCTTAATTATAGCGCCATCGCTGATCTCCACAATTTAAAAATCTCTAGGGCAGACAATAAATTTTTCAGCTCCCCGTGTCTTCATTTTTTTCGGTAATGACTTTTAACAGTGGAAATTCTTCACCTTCCGCGATCACGCCATTCCCGGCTGTCTACCGTCTCCCAACTGAAATAGGTTATAAACTTTGACCTTTCTATAACCCCTCTGCACGGACCAACAGAAAGCACAGCTCTTCTATTGTTTCGACTCGTTCGCTAGGAACGGTTGTTTCTCTAGCTCCACAGTGCTTGCTTTTAGCATATATGGCATAATATTAAGGCCGGGAATGAGGCTGCTTAATCATGAGTAAATAATAGATTCTGAAGAAGGACTCTTCTGCAGGGAGTAAACTAGAGATTGATAAACGTCATGGTTATGGTTTAGACTGAAGATTTCTATCTTCTGGGATACCACGCTACGTATTCTGATGAAAGTCAAACGACGTTTCGGATAAATATGTCTCCACCTTCAGGGCTGGAGAATAAGCCGAACGCAAAACCAACATGAAACAGGTATCAAGCATATGCTGTTTTCTTGTTTGGCTTATTTTTATACCCCGAAGATGGAAACGATATGTTCTTCCGAAACATCGGTTCTATGTCGGCTGACTACAGGGCATTCTATCCTGGAAGATACAACTCTCGATAATCACCGTTGTGAAAATATCAATTCCTAGACGTAGTTGAGACCATTCTACTCAGGTGCAAGAATGAGGAAAAAACTAATTTCAGAATTTTTTCAATTGAGCCCAGTAAGTGCAGAAATAATTGAAAAAAGGCAAAGACGGCTTACAGTGTAATTTTGGCGGATGTATAACCACATTTGAAATTCCAGGCACCTGGGATAAAGGAATATACGCTGCAAGCACGAGGCGTCTACTGCCCAGAGGTCCATGTCTCAGGTCGTAAGTCACCTAGCCACACATTGGACTGCAGATTCTCAGTTGTACATTGTCAAATTCATTATTGCAGACTTGGCCCGCTATGTCTTCAAGAAAGTACTACCCATTTCTGAAGTAACATCAGAACATTGAAATAAGTCGGTGAGAATCTTCGAGCTTCACGTCGGTCTATATTCCACATAGTTTGCTGAATATTTCACTCTATTAAAATCTTAAGAATTAATTTATTTCTTATCACCTCAAGGTGTGGTTGTACCCAGGAGACCCTAGAGTGATACCTGTAACGCTTTAGTAGCACACCCAAAATATAAAAATAATAAAGACCGTTTAAATTCCCTGAGGATTACTGAATGAGGTAAACAGAAAATAACCATGTTTTCGTGATGCAAATTGCATGATCGCCTCCGTACAGTGACTTCAAGTTTATCGTTATTTGAGCGACCGGGTTAGGCAGCCGCCATTGTAATGCTAATTCAAACGTACAATGTTGAATGCGTTTTTGTTTACATTCATAAATAAACCATGTAGAATTCATGTCGGCCATCCATCAAGTAATCGTTTCAATAAACAGCTAGTTTATACATCAGTTATGCGTCTGCAGATCAGGCAAACAAAAAAGGACATCAAAATATTTGTTGTCAAGTACAGAACTAACATTGCACTGCATTGCTCTTACCATCTGGCGTTATGATAAATTGTAAGTGCGGAAAATATTACCAAAATAAAGAATAATTAATATTTAATTCAATTATACTTTAATGTACCATATTTTGACCGGCCACAGTAGCAGCGCGGTCTAAGATATGAACTGTGTTCGCTCGCTCGGACGTTGTAATCGTGGGTAATCCCAAGCAAGGCATGGATGTTTGATGTATGTATGTGTTTATTCTGTGTTTGCGTTGTCCTGTATT